TTTTGTAATTGCAACCGTCACACGACAACTAACTCATCTCAATATTAAAATGAATTCATACTTAGATACCCAATTGAATAAAACTAACACAAACAATGACTCCAAATATTTCATCCCATAAGAACCTCCATTCGTCCTCTAGTACAATCATATTCTTCTATGAATTATTCCAAAAACAAAATTCACAGATCATCTTAGCCTCAACAACTTCACTTGAACAAGAAGAAACACCAACCCTTACGAAACATAATGCAATCATGCCAAACACACTACTCAAAAATTCTCAGCCACAACTTTAGTTGCCCAACCAAACAATTTCTGTATTATTTTTACCTATCCACTCTATTTCTTTCACTCGACGAACCGACTAATAGTTTACGCAAACTTGTCTACATCCACCCACACAATTTCACTCCAACATAAAATTTACCCAAACGCTCACACAATGCACTTCGAGTCCATATAGAATTCATCAAGACTAGATACACATTCTAACAATACTAAGGTACTCCTAACAAATGCTCATAGTTGTAGTGACTTTGAAATCTCCTTTGAAGTCTCTAGTCAGCTCGCTTCTACCCAAATTCTAAAAGATATAACCACAAGCTATGATGCCACTCATTCACTCTAAAAGAAAAATTTATATGTCAACAATAGTCATTCCATAACAATTTTCAAGACTAACAAAACAACGAAAGTGCTTCATACCAATTTATTCCCCGATGAGGGGTCTGTCAAATAACTTCTTCTAAGGTAATATCACCACAAAACACGATGAAACAAAATTAAAATAATAAATCATCATCTATTAGGAAAAACTAAATACATTTTAATTAAGAAAACACTTACCACTTAAGGTCAAATACACTCATCAAATTGAACTCAATGGTAATATTAGACCAACATACCAACAACACGAATTCTTACCACACTTATAGCAAAACGAAGAATCAATATAAGGAATTCACAACTCTTACTCCAAGGATACAAAACAATATTGTAGCTAAAGGATAAAGGATACAAAATAATCTCCATTTCCATTACGTGAACCACACCATCACGACACACACCAAATTTAACTCAAAACACTCTCATATACCTTCCATCTTCACAATTTCTAACTCATATATAAAAGTAACTACAAAAGTTAACATCAATCACTCTCGATGGGTCAAGCATAAATTTCCATAGAAATACTCAAATTACCACCATACTAATTATCCTAAAGCACCTAATTTAGAATGATAATATCCTCACAAAGTAATCTTAAAAATTTCCTCTAAAAACATTTGTTGCTAACACAACTCCACAACATCCATCACATCATGTCCCTTAACACTCATTTATTACACTCTGAATATCAAAAACTAACTCTAAGACAATGGACTCCACCAATCTCGAAGGCACTCGGAACTCGTCTATATGTTCTAAAATATCGACTCATGAGTCAATGTTGTCACTACTAATAATCCCATCAAATGGCATAACCTAAATCAAATTTAATCTCATTCCAATCTATCTCAAAATTATTTATCTCATTTGCCCTCTTAGGATTTGCAGCAAAATTATGAATAAAACAAACTCTCTAAGAAACACATCTCTTACTACATGATATAATTTCTATCATGCTAAGACTATGTTTATTCCCAAGCACATACAAAATAATTGGCCTAGGGCCCATCACTAACCTCACAAGTAGTCCATCAAGCAAGTGAAACAATTCAACTATAACTAACTTCGTCTATCCCAAGAAAATTTAGAACTAGTTTACATGTTCTAATATCAATAATCTAAAGCATATTATCTTAGATTACTTTAATCATAGAGCTGTAAATACAACAATAACTCCTCAATGATGGTACTACTATTTCTTGGTTTTTTTTTTTTTTTTTCCATCTAGTCCACTTCTACAAACTTGATATAAAATTGAAAAATAATTAACTCCTCATAATAACAAACCAATCGCTACACAACACAAACTTTACTATTTTAAGGTTACATTTACACCCACAATCATACAAATCGGTTAACCTACGCTTTAATACTAATTCCATAACATCTTGACCAATCATCCCGACCATATTACTCTAGCTTACACCTTCTTCCTGGGGGAAAAAGTATCCCCCTACATGAGAACATCCCGGGCACCCCAAGTGTCTCTATTACGGCCTCTCTCACTTTATGACATCTTATATAAGAGACAGAATTTAGCTCAGAAGTAAGTACTCCACACTAGTTCTAACAAGCTGCATACGGATTAAACATAAACCTACACATGTATCTACATCACATAAGGCAAACCATATAAGCACATAGTTACATAGAGCACATACGAGTTACCATTCCAAGATATTGACTCGTTCCACAAACATTCAAAGACTTCCAAATAAAAATAGCATTGATCAGGTTCTTTTCAAAAAGGACCTCGAAGAATTTCATGGACACAAATCACATCTCAGAAGTTTAACCCTATACCTACATAGTCACATAAATATATTATCACATAACACATAAGATATGCAACATTTCTCACTAGCAAAATGAACACACTGTGGTAAAAACCACTTCCCGCGAGCCCCAAGTATTCAAACCTGGTAGCTCAGATATCAAGTTGTAACGCCCCGAAAATTGGGCAAGATATATCTATTTATGCAACAAAACTCACCTGATAGACAAATATATATATATATAGCTAACTATTCTATATATCCATTTCCATTACATCACAAATGCCAAATACATGTTGTTCACATCTCAATGCCCCAGTTCCAATCCCAAGCATGCATTTTACAACAAGTATGAAATGGAAGCCAAACAAATAATAAGTTCCCTACAGACTTACTAATTTATCCAAGAACATTCTTGGTTACACAAAATGGAGTTTCAACTTAACGCAAATACAGCCCTGGGCTTACATTCAACAAATAACAATAAAACAAAAATGAAGCCTCAGTTCCTAGTCCTTTCAAGTTAATGTCTTGGCGGAGGCATAGTACCTGTACCTGAAATGGTTTCCCTTATAGGGTGAGTCACAGTCCAGTAGAGATATACAACACAACATATGAACCATGACAAGACTAAAGAGGAGTATGCACATGTCATGCTTATGATAAAATAATTTATCTCTCTTTTTATAAAACATGCAATGCTGAGATACAACAATAGATATAAAGCCATTTCCATTTTAAACCAAATCTGTTACATAAATACAGGATTTGTGAATCTCTAGGTGAGTGTCTGCAAGTAGGCCCTAATGCACTACCACTGTCATTTTTACCAATAAACTAGAAGGCTCGACACTTAATCGCGCGGTTCCACACCCCCTACCCATATTCACCAAGTATTCATCTTTTCGCAAACAGATACATTTACAAATATTTCTCAAAAACAGATATATTTCCAATTAAATGAATATAATGCAATGTCCAATGCAAAAAATGAGAAATGTGGTTCGATTTACCTAAGTCTCATGCCTTTCTACAACAATCGTGGCTATCCTTTACTGATAGCCCAAACAGATATTTCTAAACAGATATTTAAACAATTAAATTTTAAAAAATTTTGATAAATACAATCTATTTCACATCTCATTAAATATGGACAACTACACTAGTTTTCATATCACAATCACGTCCAGTAACCTCTCAAGGTCCATTTCTAACCGTGTCGGTTTTATTCCAACAGATACATTAAGCAAAATAATACCGTTAATGCCCAAGAAACATCATTTTCTTTCCAAACTCATTGTCCAAGCATTATTCAACTATGACATCCTATTTTGATCAAAAGCCCCAAAAGTTAAATGTAATTCCTTTGTTTTCTTTAAAAATGCTCTTTTGGTTACAAACCGTTAAAAATTTCAAAACCAATCGAGTCGAAGTCCGTTTTTGTTCAAATTTAAAATATAGCTCTTTCATAACCTTATAAACATATTCCAAGTTTACACTTTTGCAATTTGGGTATCAACTCTTTATTTTTCTCAAAATTTCCCTTTTAAGCAAATAAATCACAAATTTTCAAAAAATTCTAATTAAATTATATATAACTCTAAGCTCCATATGAGCAAGTAAAAGTACATAAAGAAATGTAGACAAATCCCTACCTCGAGTCAAGAAGCTTTTAAATTTTTTGATAACAAAAATTAAATTTTTTTAGAGCCAAACGACGCCTTTCCACCCTCTATGTTTTGATTCAAAGCACTAGGGGTCAAAAATGACTTACACTAAATCAAACCTGTGAAAACCCAACATTGGAACCCATTCTCTTTTCTTTCTTACGGCAAGAACTCCTTGAACTCTCAAAAGTAAAATAAAAAATCATTTTGGTTCCTTTTATAGATATTTCCTAAACAAATATCTAATTAAACAAATATCTAACTATATATATATACACCTATATATACACCTATATATATGTATGTATATAAATTTAAAAATACATTTCAATATCTTTAATGACAAAAGTGAATATAATATTTTCTCACCACAAAATATATTTTGTTTAACGGTACACACCATAAATATTTATAACTCTTTTATCATAATTAAATAATAATAATAAAATCATAACAATATTACATGATTACTAACACGGCAGGAATTTTCAGAACTCGCGACGTTTAAAAAACGCCACTGTAAGCCTTAAAAACGCCGTTAAAGTCTAAAGTGACGTTTATAACTTTCGTCACAGATACGGCCGCCGTCTTAGGTACATGACGTTTATTAAACGTCGCTAATAACTTTAGCCGGCGTTTTTTTAAAACGCTGTAAATTCTCATATTCCGTTATCTAAAAAACCGTCACAGTTAAATGCTGACGTCATATGACGACACTTAATGGCGTTTTTAAAAAAACGCCATTTTTTCTCTTTTTTTTTTTTACAAAAAAAAAATTTGCACTATTTACAGAGAAAAAAATATAAATAAATTTCATTGTACTAAATCTGCAAAATAATGCTTCTAAAAAAAAAAAAAAAAAAAAAACTGCAAAATAAGTATTCAATTGTCAAATTGCATTATTAGCTAAATAAGGTCAACTCTAAAAGGCAAGGATTCTATACAGAAGCACATAAATGAAAATAAACCAAAAATAAACCAAACAAATTTAATTCCTCGTCCAGGTGGCTACAATTTTACATTTGACAAACAATATAAAAAAATTATAACATTTCCTACCTATTTATATTCAAGCACAAACTATACCCCAAAAAAATGTTAATAAAACCATCAAAATATTGGATAACTCATTCATGGGCCAATGCTTATTTCAAGGAACAAGCTGGCCAATACTCCTACAAAAAAAACAATGGAATCAGTCATCAAAAAATAGAGAAACTAACCCAAAAATAAAATAAAATAAAAAGTTAACCAAATATAATCATTGCCAGTAATAAAGTCAGCAAAAAGTTAGCACAACAATCACAATCCAAGAGGAAAAAAAAAAAAAAAACCACACTGAGGAAAGGAATGCTTGGAAGCACAATAGAATGCTTTGAAGTTATCAATGCAACAATGCCCCACTATTTTTGTTTTCCCATTTCCTGGTTAGATGCATGTTCAATTTAGTCGATCCTAGCAATGAATCTGGAAAATATGCTTGGCACAAGCTATGGTGCAAATGGTTCCCATTTATATTATTTTGGCACATTCAGATATTAGAGCTACGAGCCATTTAGGGGCCAACCCACTAGGTTGGTGCCTAGCATCCTAAAGTCTACAAACATTCAGTTAATTTAAAATAAAAGTGGAGACAGCTAGAAGAAGATGATCAGAAGACCCATTAGAAGTTACCAAACTAACGATACTTTTTTCCTTTCAAATTCACAACCCTAAGATGGAATATGAGGGAGGAAGCAGAGAAGGTGCAGAAAACCTCCATTCATCGAAATAAGTGAATCAACCAGTTACACCAATGCACAACCAGATACTTTGTTAAAAATTGAGTATTATATAATGTCATGAATGCAGAATACATTCTTATGATAGAGCCATTGGCAAGAACTCAAAGACTCAAAAGTCAAATGAATAAGGACTGTTTGGTATGTAAATAAATGGAATTGAGATGTCCATAAAGAAAATTTCAGGCACATTTCATCTAGTCGTGTATCTATCCTGTATACTTAGGAGACAATAGCCATATAATACTAAGTTCAGAATCTCACCATGAAAGAGAGAAGGCTGTAAGTATGCTGCATTTAAGACATACAAACTCTAGTCAGCATCAGACGCTAGATTAAATGGTTGCAAACAATGACATCTATTTTTTCATCAATGACAATGTATTACCTTGATACAGACCACATCGGATTCCAACTTTCTGGATGAACTGAAAAATGATAGAAATGAGTTGAAAATAAAATCAGTTTATTAGAAAGAACAGATGATTCCTAGACCAATGATATTTAACGGCACTTACAATCACTCATAGATAGGCAGATTTTCTTTTAAGTCATAAATCATCTGTTTGGAGTAGTCATACTACAATGGAAACAAATGTAATTTTCAGTTAAAGAAACCTAGTGAAAATGTTAAAAATAAAAATAAACATGAAGCTGCTAAAAAAGCATCAAAATATTTTTTGTGGAAAAATTTAAGGAGACAAAATCTACAATACCTGATTCCTGGAGGTTTAAATGGATACTTTGGAGGAAATTTGATTTTCCCATAATAATATCCACCTTACCATAATAAGTGGGAAACATTCATGAATAAAATAAAATAAAAAATTCCATGTTCCAAGAACAATAGCAAACAAAACCAGCGATGAAATAAATGTCATGTGCCACAAATGCATAACAATTCATATCAAACCTGCAAAAGGAGTTCCTTCACTTCCCTCTAGTACATAATCTGCAACATATAATTGTAGAATAAAATCATGTTATGTAATTAACAAACAAGAAGTGGATGAGAAAGCAATACTAACCTCAACTACAAATAGGTCATCATCAATATGCATAGGAAAGCACCAACGAACTAGTCACTAGCACCAATTTTAGAAACTGTTTGACATTTTCTGTAAGGAAAATGTGATAAGAGTGACAAAGATAATGAGATTCAATAAAAAACAGAGAGAGGTCCAAATCTCATAGAGCAATGAAAAGAATGCGTGAAATTCGATTGGAGAGATAGAGTAAATGCCATTGCATAATTCAACAATAAATAATAAATAATTTTATGTTCTTGCCAATTCATATATATATAAACAGTATGCATAAATCAGTTTGGGTATAGATGCCAACAGAAATATCAATTTACAATGTTCTTTGGTCAAGCTTGCAGAGTCGTGGCCAGAGATATCTCTGAATTGGTTCCAACACTGGGTACCTATGTAGGAACAGCAACATTAGCTTTGCTATTGTGAATGACCAATTGTCCTGATGTAAATCAGTTGGCCCTTAATACTCATAGTTCTAGAAGATGCAACTGTAGTGACTCAGGCAGCGGCTGAAGGGGTACCCATCCTAGTCTGACAGCTATACGTCCAACGTTTGTGTCAACCTTATTGAAGATTTACAAGTAAAATGTTTAAGATTCATCCATATTATTTTGATATGTCGTGTACTTTTAACTTATGACTTACTGGGAAAGCAAGATGGTGAAGAGTCAAAAGTCGCACACACTCCACGCTTTTCAAGCCCAACCCTCTTACACTCAACAGATATTCTCTACAAACAAAAGATTTCCATAAGTACTTGTTTCATTGTTCTTTTTATCATACGGAAATTGTTCCGTAACATATAGAAATGATTTGAAAATTTTCTATGGGCTTACTTTACTTTGTCAGGTGGAACATCCCTCAACCATTCAAGATCTATGCTTCCATGTTCTCTAACCAGCCGGTTCAGGAAATCCTGCATTTTCTCAACTATCATTAGTTAAATGGCTTTTCTATACATTGAGTGTCATAACATAGGCAAACCATCTGCAGTTTAAATAATTGAGTATTAAAATAGCAACATTAAATACACAACCTGTTTAGAGAGAAACATAAGAATGGGAGAAGATTTTTTTTTGTTTTTTTTTTTGTTTTTTTTGAATTGATTAAAACTAAGCATATTTGGAAAAGCTGAGAACACAAAATTGCTAGTACCTTTCCGCGGTACCAAGGAAGCTTTTGTTCTTAGCCATGGTGATGCAAGTAACGGTGTCCAACCACGTAACAAAAATCTGTGATAAATGTGCGACAAGATTGAATCAAATGGAATTGAAGTATTTGGAGCATTTGAGATTCGTTCTTTTTATCATATGGAATTCTAGGAACACTTTGAGAATGGAATGTGTTTGACTTACCATGTAGGGAACGCCATAGAGTCTAAGCATTTGGATAGACCCAAACACCGTTGATAGGTAGAAAAGCAGGGAAACCATTAAAGTCCAGCATACAATTGAAGTGATCACATGTTTCCAATTCACTGTAGGGATTGAAATGAGAAACAAAATAAAAATTAAGATGCAATGCTTCTATGTGTTGCATTAGTAAGCAACAAAGGCTTAATAACAAATAACAATTTGCATTAAATAAACACCCACTTGTACCAGATGCCAAAATTACTAACTGATGCATGACTACCCACATTTTACAAACCATATTTCAAACATTAATTGAAAGCATGACCACTACAACACAGAATCTGGATCAAAAGATTGTAAAATCATTTATATATAATGGGAGAACCCCATTTTGGTGTTTTCGACTTTCTGAAGCTGTGTTAACACTCTTGTTTCCTAAAGAATCAATGATGTATATATTAAGACACTAGTTCATGCAATTCAAATTCAAATATTCACAATTTGATTAGGAGGGTAGAGAGACGTGATCTTCTTTTACTGATGCGTGGAGAGATAATATTTGAAATTTTTTTTTAGCCTAACCACTCAGAGGCTTGCTGGCCAACAGGTGGCCGACTGGCCCATTTTTAGTGGCCGGCCGTCCCCCTACATGGTCGGCCAGGCATGTTTCCCGGCAGGTAGATATTTGCTACCACATGTCCCCCCTATGTACATGCCTTGCACCGGCTGGCTCCATATAGATATTTTATCATCCTTCATGGTTTTAGGTTAGAAATATTTGTGAAGAGCCCAAATCTTACTAAGCACTCTCCTTCTCTATCTTGCAATATACATATACTATACATACACTTCCTAAACCAATATTTTGAGGCTCCTTGCTGAGGTTATTGAGCTGAAATTTCAGCCCTTAAGAGTGAACATCTTGTGGTTTGTGAACAAAAGAGTGTTTTCTCTTCAAATGTATGACTCTTGCCACCTTTTGCCTACTCTTTTCTCATCTTTTCCTGTTGTTTTTACTCCATTTTGGACTATTTTTGGTGGGCTGAAACTTGTGATTTAAAGCTACCAAAGGTGAAAGGTTTGACCACCCTTCTTTGAACCTTATTCCATAAGCTTTTATCTTTGTGTTTCCCACTTGTTTCCTAACTTTTAGCTACTGATTTTTAGAGTTTTAAGAGGCTAAAACATTTGATTTTAAGGCCCAAAAAGTGGAGGGGCTAGCCACCCTTCCTTATGCTTGCTTATTAGCTTTGTTTTCCCCTTCTTTTACTTACTTTTTCTAGCCTTTCAAACTGATTTTCCAGCACTATTTTGTGAGTTTTGGGACTGTTTTGATGTGTCTATGTAGTTTATGGTTTGAATATCATGCTTGTATTGTTGTAAGTCCTCATAGATTTGGTGGTTTAGGCCTTAAACACCAATCTATTTGAGTTGATAGCTTTTATTTCATAGTTTTCATACATATACTCACACTTGTAGTAATCATCTTTGCAACCTCCCTCATTTCCTGGTTTTCTTTCTTTTGTTATGAGTTGTTTCAGACAATTGATTGTTGTTCAAAGCATGAGAAAGAGATCTTCTATGCTTAATGGTTTAATCTCTTCAGAGATTCATTATCAGGGCATTACATCTCTCGCATGCTAAAGACAACTTCTTGTTCGACACTTCTTTTCATTAGTGGACATAACTCTCACTTTCGGACAACATGAATTAAGAAATGGAAAGGTAATGTTAAAAAAGGCTAATAAAATTGGTAAAAGAGTTAAAACAAGATAATAAAATCAAGTCGGGTTCAGTCGGACGTTAATTGAACCCATTGAGTCTTGAATCATTACATACTCTTAGTGATGTTAATAGTTCAAGGAGCAATGCCCACCCTTTTCCATGAGATGACTCCATGATAGGAAAGAGGTGGTGTTGATCTTTCATTTCATTTCATAGATCTTAATGTCTTATTGGTTCATACATCATCACGCAACAACCTTGAGACGATTGATGGTTTGTGGACCAATTCTACTACTTCAATGATCAGTTCCATGCTAGGGAGAGGCAAAGAGGACAAACATCCCCTAGAAACACTCTGTTTGTGCTCTGTTTCCATTCTGTTACAGCAGGGCAGAGCCCAAAAACAATGGCCAGCTGGCCACCCTTTCATCCGACCGACCACTTTCCAAGGCTGGCCGACCACTCCATTTTAGCCAGGCAGTGTCATTTGCATGACAGAACAGAGCAGAAGTAGGGACAAAAATAGATTAATTTTTTTACTGCGAACAGAATAGAATCTAGCACTAGAACAGAGAAGTTTTCGGGAAGATGTTATTGGTTACACGTATGGTTCTTAGACTCTCGTTCAAATCCATTAGCTTGTAGCTCTTAGATTAATTAGTGTATTATAACTAGTTAATTAAACTCCTTTGAATTTGTAATAGCTAGTTAACTTAGTCAATTAATTTGGTGTTTGTAATATTTAGCTAAATTAGAATATTCATTCAGACCCTCTTGCATGAGGGAAAAATTGTAATAATGTGTATGTCTTTCAACCCCCATTTCTTTCTCCCTTTTATTTATTCGCTTACCGTGGTTGTATAGCATCATGTTTTCCTTAGCATTTTCCATGACTCGCATTCATTCGTTTTGCATGCATAAAGGTTTGGCTCATCATACTAATCAATGTCAATTTAAAATTCCTGACTTGAATACGTGCGTTATCGCATGTCTTGAATTGACTTACATGTCATACTAGTAGCCAAGCCTATTAATTGCATGTTGTATGTGTTGCATTAGTCATGATTGCGTTGTTTAGGATTATGCATTTTTTTTTCTAACTATTTTCTTTCTTTTGGCTTGCCTTGGTTGAGTACTAGGTGAGAATTTCTTGCTTTAGCATATTGCATATGTGTTGCCATTGCCATATCAAGCATGTTTACCATAAGGCTAAGTGCTTAGTTGATATACCTCTTGAATGTCGGTGGATGAAGGGTTTTTCGTTTCAGTTGCGATGATTTGATTAATATATATATGAGATCACTTTTTCAAGTGATACATATTCAAAACACTTTTCAAAACAAACGTGAAATCAAAGCGGCCCAAAGTGGGCGAATTAGTGTATACTTGTGTGCATTACATAGTAAAGATAGCATAATAATTGGAACAAGAGCATATACTGTACATAAGAATCACATCGTGTAGAGGCCGATCTTTGATTGGGTGAGTGGGGTGCTCAATTTATGACCTTCCCCTCTTATACCTAAGTTCCCGAGCCGAGACACTTTGATGATGACGGATAAGTGGCTTTTGGCATGAGTCACGGGTTTCCTAAATTTCTCAAAAATATTTAGATGGCGACTCTGAAATCTGACAATGCGGTCCATTTTTTATATTTTTGATTCAAAATTGATTTTTCAAAGATTTGCCAGATTTGGACTCTTTTGTGTTTTCACTGTTTTACATTGCACTTGTAAAATCTGATTCAGAACCACAGGAGTCCGAATTGTAGGGTTATTATATCTAAGGAGACTAAACCCCTCCGAGGAGTACGAAAAACCAACTACACCCTCCCGTTGGTTATGGAAGGGGAAAAGGTCCTCCCGATGATTATGGAAGGGAAAAAGGATCTCCTGATAACTGTGCAGGAACCCTCAAGTCTTCTAGTACATTAGGTTCAGGAAATTCCTCAGCTGGTGGGGGTGGAATCGGATTAGCCACTAGAGGTGTTTGAGTAGCGGATGACCCAGATGGGTGCCACAATTTGACAACAGCATCAGCATGGGTGGCCACTGTATTGGCTATAACATTCAAACTTCGTTGAAGGACCAACAACATGTCCACTATATTCTCCGGAACTTGAGCCATCACGGATGCTGATGAACTAGGTGGAGATGATCTAGCAGGTAAAGAAAGGGTATTCTGACCAATTGATGTGGTTTTTGTACTTTTGCTTCGTGTGCTCAGCGGCAAAGAAACTAACACTGGTTGTCCTTGAACCAAATCTGTAGTTTTATAGAGTCTACCAACGCGAGTCCACTAAACTTGGGGGATATTCGACTGTTCTGAAGCTATGTTGCCCAACTACCTTGCAAAAACATAAAACGGAACCTTTAATCAAATTTCGGCAACATGCTAGCTTAACTGATCATACTGAAAAAGAACTAAACTCAAACCCACAAACTAAAATGTCTGAACCATTGACACTGAGAAGCCTTGTATAGATCCTATCCATTGCACATAACATATAACAAGAAAGAGAATAAACACTCCTATGGGGGTTAGGGTTACCCTGTCCTAATTTTGAAATAATCTAGGGCTTCACTATTGAGACAAGTTGCATCATACATCCTAGAAATGGGAGAGCATCTTGTCCTAATTTTGAAAGTACTATAGCTCACTATATGTACAAGGTTGGCTCTACTTTAAGAGTTGAAGTCAAGGTGACATTACCAAAGAGTCCTTTGGGTCATAACCAATGAAGATCCTAAGAAATCAGAAGAGTCAATATTACATCTCTTTGAAGTCTGAGAACCTTAGATAGCAGAGCTACCTATTTGACAGATCTCAAAAGGTTATAACACAAGGCCTCCAAAGTAATGTAAAGATAGGTGTAGTGTCATAAAAAGTGTTCCTGCTCCCACCAGTATTTGGGCAACATAGGGACTTTAAGTGCACCAATGTATGCAATACAATAAACATATAACTGAAAATAAAAGTCATATCATGGAGTTCGAGTCAATGTTTCATAAAATCCCTGGCAGAGACACCAGAAACTATAACATGCCCGGGGGGTACCAATCCGCGTTAAACAATTTAGACCCTCGACTTCTTTGATCTAGTCTCACAAGTGCATTGCGAAACATAAATGAGAGTCCAGTTTTGGCAACTTTTATAAAAAAATCTATTTAATTGCAAAACATTTGCCAGAAATGAATTGCATCACCAAATCTTAGAGTCGCCACTTAATATTTTGGAAAAAATTAGGAAACTCGTGACTCATGCCAAGGCCACTATTCGCCATCACCAAAGATGTTTGGCTCAAAACCTTAGGTATGAGAGGGAAAAGTCATTATTGAGCACCCTCCGCTGATCCAATCAAAAGATCGGTCTCTACTAAAACATGATACAAATTTTATTTTCTTTATATGTTCATGTTCTAATTATTTAATA